TTAACAGTAAGGCTGCTTCTTATTCCGCACGGATACGGACACAGAGAGGCCGGTTGAAGTCAGTAAATTCCGTACATTGTAATTCAGATTGTATGTCGAAACGAACGAGTAGGCATGCGAGTACGCGGATGCCTCTTCACTGGTCGACAGTAGGGTTTAACGCACTTATCACTATCGTTGAATTATTTAAAAACATCTCAGGTCTCTTTCAAGATGGTAACTAATCAAATATTATCTAATAATACACATTCTTCACACATTATTCTATAATAAGAAGTTAGCGGCCGGCAACTTCCTCATCACTATATAGTTTATTAATCAGTAAATGTCTCGAGGGTCATAAAAGTGTCTCATTTATAGGCTTGCTATATAACTCACATAAATCTGGTTAAGAAAACTCGGATCCCGTGAAACGGAGCCAACATCACACGGTAGGTATTTCAAAAGCATCTTTTATAACGAGCTTGTAAACTCGGCAGTTTATAAAAGTTTGTCATTCAGTCTTTAAGGAGACACTTAAAAAATTAAAAACATATTTGTCTGCTTAAGATGTATTGTTTTTACTAATAGAAAAATAAATTTTATTCAAATTTTATTGATTGTTCTTAGTCATTAGTATAAATTAATAAGATTTTTTTATTGTTTTACTAGTTTTCCCGCTTCTCCAATCTTATAAATGCTGTTACGCCAATAAAAAGATCATAACCATTTCCTAGCTCTATCTAAATACCTGCAAAATTTTATTCGAAACTATTTATTTTAAGTTATATTGACATTTACAGTAATTTATTTTTATGTACCTATAGTTATTAGTTAGTTATTAATAGAAAATATGTGTCATAGTATTAATAGGACTTACAAATATATCAGAAAAATTATTTTGGTTCAAATTCATCGTTATTATTTATTTAGACGCAAATGAAAAGAGGTATTTTGTTGAACGTTAGTTAGTTTTCATATATGCAGAACTTTAAGTGTAATGAGTAATTAGGTTGTTACAGATACAGTACAGTTGTTACATATTGAGCTGTGGAAATTGTATGGAGTGTGCTCAGACGTGTCGAGATATTTTTAAACATTATGAGTCATTGCAACAAACATCTAAATAATTAATATGTATGAGCCATTCATAAATATTTTTCGGTAATTAAAGTTCAGATGAAGAAACAAAATCAAATTAAGATAAAAAAAATATTGAATAGACGTTATATTCACAACAGTTTATTAATAAAAAAAAATCAAAAAATACAACTTGCTGTTCTCGTATTATAACTAACACAAAAACTAATTGAAAGAGCAATCGGATATTTTCGGCGTTCCTTTTGTCGGCATTTTTGCAACTAGAAACCAAGTAGGCACTTCTGATGTACCAAAAGACGGAAATGAACTGCACCAGTGTTTGTCAACAGATCGTGTTAAAGCATTGTTCTCTTATTGTGCAACGATTCGTCAACATTATGAGAATTCTTTGCTTATCATTTACAATAATCAAAATAAAATATAATAAAAAATGTCGAACGGCTGTCGAACTTTTACGAATCAATTGTAAAAGACGCCGCGTTACCGACAAAGCTGCGAAAAAACGATTTCAATGAAATTATTGTACATTAAACACAATATTGATAGTAGGCGACCGCTGTCGGAAAGATATATGAGTAACCGATTTTATTATTACATTAAAAATGTGTACTGTATGAAATGTCATTGAATACAGATTCTGTTACAATAAAATATAAAAACTACTTTAATTTAATTTCTACAAAGATATTAGGTAGTTTTTTTTTTATTTATTCTAATTTAATTATTAAAATATCCACATCCGTTTTAATAAGTTGTATTTAGTATGACGGTATTTCATTTATTTGTATAACAAAAGAACTTTCCTATCATCAAAGTGACTACTGTTTCTATACACAATATGTAAGTCATAACCTTAAATATTTTACTCTATATTCCTTATTAATGAATGTTTTTTCCTCAATAACAATACAATAAAAAAACCAGACTACAGGTAGCTAGGGAAATACTGCCGTTAGAATTAGTCACGACAGATCAAGGAAAGATTTTAATTCCTAAGTATTTGAACCGATGTGTACATATCTATACTTATAATAAATCTGTAGAGAGGTCAATTCTGTGCATAAAATATATTTAAAAAATAATTATCAGGGGGTGCTTAGGGATCGCTACTGATGCCAAAAATGCAATCAGTAAAATTTTTGTCTGTCTGTCTGTATATGCGTTATGGAAACAAAAACTACTCGCCGGATTTTAACGAAATTTGGCACAATTATTCTTCATACTCTTGGGCAGGTTATTGTATACTTTTCATTACGCTAAGATCAATAGGAGCAGAGCAGTGAAGGGAAATATTGGGAAAACGGGAGAAGTTACTCCATTTTTTTAAACTTTCGTCGCGTGTGTAGGCTTATAAGTTAAAAAGTCATTAATCCACGCGGGCGAAATCGCGGGCAATAGCTAGTATAACATATAATGTAATACCACTACTTGTTTGTGTTTCCATGTAAATATTATCTAATTTCAAAACTTATACGTGATTTACAATGTCATTAAATTATATTTTTGATTTAAACTTCTAATTAACGAGTTAAATTTTAGTACCGCTTGGTTGTTATCGATTTAAAGTATGTTAAAAAATCTTTTCTAAACCATATCATCGAAGGTTTTTAAGATAAAAATAAGCCAGTTTTTTACAAGACCAATATTTATATATTATATTAAAAACTAATTAAAAACTAGTATGTACAAAAAGAAATTTAACGAAAAAATGTATTGAAACATAATAGAAAATAAAAAATTAATAACACACATAAGTAAAATCCTTTTTTTAAATCGAAATAGGGATCGGATTACAATTTACAACATTTATTTCGAGTAATTACTATGTAATACATTAAAAACCTTCTCTCTATGAGGAGACACTTCTGCTCACCAGTGGGCTTTAATAGGTCGATAACGACGACGACGATCACGTAAAAGAAAATGAGTAAGGTAATAAATTAAGGCGAATTGGACGCAAATGGCTCATATATAACATATGATCAATCAAGAGGAGTAATTAGCAAGCTGTGTGAAAAGAAAATATGCAGTCTGCCTATAAAAAGAAAAAAAATGTCTCATGTATGTAGCTATTGACGTGATAAAATTTATAGCTAACAGATTTTCCTCTTAGAGATAACCAATTTAATAAAGTTCTGTAAAGTTAAATAGTAATGTAACGTATGACTACTTAGTATGGTATCTTTATTATTAAAACTTGTCCTGTAAAAATAAAAGAAAACGTGAGTATTAATATTAAGTAGAAATGAATTTACTATGAAAAGTTTACATTCAAATAGTTTTTGAAAAGACGACATGTAAACTAAAACTTCTTTATTCATACGTACAACACCAGATAGACTAAGAGTTATAGGACCAAACATATCAGTGGTGATAAATAACAACAGAGATAATTTTACCAAACAATATTGGAGACAATGTGGGGTGTACTAAGCAATTAGCTTACTTGGGAAGTCTTTGTCAAAAGAGGAATTCTTTACCTATGCGAAAGTCTGTCAATATTTGCATAACTGTTTAAGCGAATATAATATGTTTACTTCAAGTTTGTCTCACTTCATAGAGAGCAATAACAGTTTTTTATTCATTTTTAAATTGTCACACATTATAACATTAACGCAGGACGTTGAATCATTGAATGAGAAACTGGAAACTCTTTGTATGTAGTGTAACGATGCAAAATATTGCCAAGGAAATCTGCAGCCCTATAAAGAAACCGATTAGCTATGGTTCTGAACCTGAATTATGGCTACCTTATACTCGTAGTTTTCAAGTAAAATGTTCAGTCTTTTGACTGAACGCTATGAGCCATCATAGTTTTATTGGCAAACTAATTTACACAGTTAATTAAAACGTTCATAAAGAGCTCTAGAAAAAGTGTAAGAGTTTTGTAATTATATCAATACCAATTAGCCTTAATCGCACCACTACTTAATTGAGACTTGAATAGAGAATTTGAATATAACAGGTTTTTATCGATACGATGAATTGTAAGTACATTTATCTACTCATTTTGGAAGTTTTCAAGTTTGTTGTAAGGTATAATCAAACGTTAAAAGTATTTTATTTATATTTGATAAGACCTTATTTAACGATCATAGTTTTTGATTCAATGTAGACTACCAAAGCTGTAAACTTTGACACTACTAACGCCATCTGTGAGAGTTAAAGAGCAAATGACGAACCGTTAAAGATTTAATTTCTTTAATTATTATAATATTGGAAGAGTTATAGTGACTATTTAATGAAATAAGAAGAATTAAAGCATCTTGAGAAACTGGTGTAGATGTTCTTTACTGGATTATTCAAGTTTTTAACGAAAAATTGTGAGACGGGAAGACAAAAGAAAAAAAAGAGATAAAGTTTGATATATATTCAGATGTATATAATATGTATATATTATACGTATATTCAGAAAAGTTCTTTATCATCTTAATTGTATGGAAAATATTTAAATATTGATGAATTGAATAAATCACTTCGTCAATCCGTTGCCGTGAAAGATATTTTGAAATGTTATGCACAAACAAGGTATCAATGAAAAAATAGCTGTGTTACATAAAATCTGTAAAAAACGTCGGAAAGCATTTAAAAAATAAAGTATTCAATAAACATTTACAAAGTTTGATAAACTTGTTCTTTTGTTTCTAAAATGAATGTAAGCTCAAATTTAGCATAAAATATCAACACTTAAAAAAAACTTTGTTACTTTAAATGTTGTAAATTAGTACTTCTATTTTTAATAAATTACAAAATTATCCAAATAAAAGGTTTCAATATTTCGGCTGTAAGATATAAGACCGTTGCCTTTCATAATGTTGAGACGATAGAAGAAAAAAGGATTTTAAAATTGTCAATCTGTCAAACGAATTAAAAAAACTCAAATGCAGCCGATAAATTCTTCTATTATTTTACTGTAATAAATGTATCAAAATTGGATATTACCCAGGGATAAAATGCAAAGTACAATAAAAGAACTTTTGGACGCCTTAGGGTAAATGCCTTAACAATTTCTTGGCTTTAAAATTGTGCTACCCTAATGTATTAATCAATATTTATTTGTTAACGCAGATGTAATTTAGAAGCTGATACCGTTTTAGACTACATCCAGAATGATCCCAATTACGGTAATAGCAGCTTGACAATCAAACAAGCCAATGAATATGCACAAAGACTTGCACTTAAAGCTTCTAATGCTAAAGTTTTTCTCAAAAAGTACGAGGATCTGAAAAATCGCAAGTAATAATTTATTATTACATTTTTTATAGTTAGTTCCGATAAAACACACATTAATTAATCTGTATCTCACCATGTACTGATTTCAGCACTGATAATTTATCAGATATGGTTGTATTATTTTATAAACTGGTGTGTGAAGATAAGAAAACACGAATCTCAAAGCCCAAAGTAGCGCCAAAACCTATCGTGGGCGATAATAAGCACCAGATTACTAAAGACGACCTGCCTCAGGTACTATATGTAATAATTTTAACGTAAACCCATTTTGCAGTATAATATATGTAACATTAAATTATTGATTACAGATTAAAGACAAATTACTGAAAGCTGTTGATGAGAGTAAGAAGTTGGTAATGAAGTCATTTGAGGAAAAAGAATCAAAGTTGAGACCTAATTGGTACAGCAGTCTGGATTTACCGAACTGGCAAAAAGACCATCCGGCTATGTCCTGGGATTTCCCCAAGGAACCAGTGCCGATAGTAGCTTCATTAGGTTAGTAACACATATAATTGAAACTTGAAACTAAATGTACATTGGCTTTTTAAAAATTATTGTGATGGGTTTAAATTATAAATATTTAAATCTAAAATTTGGAGTCAATGTTTATATTTAACTTTTGTTTCACATTTTTTCTATTTCATATAATTAAAATGTTTATAATTATTATTGTATCAAATTGTATTGAGAAAACTGTTTATTTCAGCTGGAATCCCAATAGCATCACAAGAAAATATAATAATTGAGGAGCTTTTGTATGTATTTTCTGGCATCCCTGGAAATTTCATAGTCCATCAACCTGTTAAGGACACATTTGATGCAAGAACGTTTTTAATATCTGAAGATTTAGATGATGCTTTGAAGCAAATTGTCCAACAAATGTTGCCATTAGCTTCAAACTACTCAATAGTGAGGAGGTTCATTGAGAGCTGTGATATGTGGTCGGGTCAAGTGTTGCATGCTTTAGTTGCTGGCATCGAAGTGTTACTGAAAGATTATTATGTGAGTTTATAATATAAAATTTTCCACTTCTATTCTATTCTTTTCTACTCTATCTCTACAAAATAATCTTGGTTTGGTAAGAATATATTAAATTTATTGAATAAATCAGGATATTAAGCCTTTGGGCTATTCCGTTGCACTTCTACTTCATATTCTGAACATGTTAATGAATTTTACTTTATACATCATCTATTTCATGTTTTTATCTAGTGTTAGACTTATTGTATTATATATACCATAAATATCTCTATAATCTGTGTATTTAAGATTACCAAACTCCATGTTTCTAGAAGTCTTAACTCTTTCTCTCTATATTGATATAGTACACTATGTCTTTATATACTTACTATATCTCTATATTCACTCTTCTTCCTGGCAATTTCCCACCTTTAGCCAGGGTCTGCTAATATATCTTTATATTCATTATAATAGGAGAATTTGTGAATAAAATTAAATCTTACTGCTAACTATGCCCATAACTTTTATGATAAATGCTTTAAATAAATATTTTTTTCTCATAACAATATAACATATTAACAGTGTTATGTCCGGAGAGTATTTGAATAAACTAATTCAACATTTCCAGACCATGTTAGCGCAACTGGAAACAGAACAAATGTCATCTAACTTGACACTGCAAAAGCTATGGTATTTTGTTCTGCCCACTATGCACACCATGCAAGTGTTGGCAGCTATAGTCACTAGTATCGGAAAGGTGAGAATATTTATATTGATCATACAAAAAAATTATTTCATAATGAGATCTAATACTTTCTCGAGTATTCATTTAAATGAAAGTAACCTCTGCCCGTGATCAAAGTTGCTGAAAAAGAACCAAAACAACTTGAGAATGTAGTTTTTTACAAAAATAAAGCGCATAGTCTATCTTAAAAATATTAGTTTCATTCAAATTTTATTTCATTCCATGACATAGTATCCATCAAAAAATCTGTAATTTAGAATGATTTTAAATTATCTCTTAAAAATTTTTGATCAAAAGGGCTTTTACACATAAAAGTATTTAATACATATTATTGTTGGTATTCACTATGTTTTCATTCAGATACTGGTATTTGCAGTAAAAAATAGTCTCAGGGTAAGTTAAGTTGGTTTCATCTATATTAAAGTAAGTTTTTGATCATTAAAATTGTCTTTTCAGAGTGAATTAAGAGGTGGTGCAGTTTTGACAGTGTTACATGAGAAAACAAATACATTAATGGGTGATGCGAGAGCACAAGAAATATCCTTATTTCTCACTGAGAGGGCATGTCGACCTTATTTATATATATTAGACCAGTGGATACATAAAGGAACAGTTATTGATCCATTTCAGGTAATAGATAATAAAGAATAATAATAATACAATTTATTATTTGCCATTCCATCCAAAAAATTTAAAGAATTCAAAATGTTTATATTACACACACATATATATAACCTGGACTTATAATTTCAAATTATAAGTTTGAAATCACCAACCTGCGTTGAGCAAGTGTGGCGATAATGCTCAAATCTTCTCCATATGAAAAGAGGCCTTTGCTCAGTAGTGGCCTCTAATAGGCTGATGATTATTATGATAATGATATTTTTTTCTGTCAATCTTTCTCATCTCATTATAATATATAATATAATTGTATAGTTAATTTAATTGTGTAGTTAAATTTAATTTATAATAACAAATGTAAGAGTATTGTTAATTTTACTTTGTTATTTTATTGAATAGTTAATTTTAAACTGTAAAACAATTAATATGAATTTATGATTATAATTGCATGTTTAATTTAATTTGTAATTTTAATTTAATAGTTAATTTTAATTTATAATTTAAACCTAATATTTGCATGCCTTATGGTAGAATGTACCTGAACTTATATTAAAATCTATTTGTACATCTATATTCTGTACCTACATTTAGAGCAAATAAATTTTATTATTATTACATATTACTATTATTAACCATTGCTATCAACACAGATTGTATTAATAATATTTTCTATAGACCTATAATATATATTTTATTCTTCAGGAGTTCATGATAGAAGATAATGAACTCATCAACAAAGAGGAACTGCCGGTAGATTATTCAGCGGACTACTGGGAGAAGCGATACTGCATACAACGAGATAGAGTGCCCAAGTTTCTGGAAAAATTTACAGACATCATATTAAGGACCGGGAAATACTTGAATGTTATTAGCCAGTGTGGTAAGACCTCCCTATACAATACTAGAATGGTTTGGATGAAACAGTTTAAACTAATGGAAAAAATTTTAAAAGACAACACAAAAATTTCTTGCTCATATTGAAGTGAAACACCGGGTTTATCTTTTATGGATGACTGACTACCTGTGCCTATATATAATTGCAAAACAACCTGCTCAGCTTTATAAATTATAGCTAATACTCATGACTTTGTCCGCGTCAATTTCTGTTACAATTTTAGACAATTTATTCTAAAGTATGTTCTTCTGAGACCTCTCCGCGTCGGCAACAAGAAACTCCTCTCAGTCTGTTTGTTTTCCAAATCATGCGGCGTTTGTGAATTTTCTATCGGGTTTTTCTTTTATGATAAAGGGTTCAACCGAGCAGACGATCTACCTGATGGAGGTAGTACCGTCGCCATAGACATCCGCAATGTAGATTTGTAGATGTTTTGCATTCTTTGATTGGGGAAAAGGTGGGAAAGGGAAAGTACAAGAAAGGGTGGGAAAAGGGCAATCGGCTCTGTCACTCATCGGACGAAACGCAGCCATTAAAGACTAGAGGGTGGTACATTCCCTCAGAGCCACCCCGAGGTTCGAGCTGTAGTAACTTGACCACTTGGCTCTACCACCTCAAAAAAAGTGTATTTAAAATTCTAATATCTTCTAAAATAATTACATCTGAGATTTTCGCGAGTTTTATTTCAATGAAACTAATATTGTAGTGTAGCCTGGTTTGTCCAATGTATGTTCACACAATGCTAACTTCGACGCGGGGCTATTTTTGACGACTGGGATGTGTTCTTTAACCTTCGTACCCATGCTTCTCTTTGTTTGTTCAATATATGACAAACAATATATAATAAGACCAACTGACTGAAATTCACATCTCATCTGCCCCATGATCACGGTTGCTGCAAACTGCAAAGTTTCCGAAGCGTCGGGAGTATTAGGTTTTTTGACAAAATAAACCGCGTTGTATATTCGAAAAGTATTAGATTCATTAAATCTTCTAAGATGTTCATTGAAATTAGTGATGTCAACGACAATTTTGTTCATAATTAAATACTCTTAATCAACAACATATTTATTTGGATAAATATTAATATTTTTATGTTGAGACAACTCTTACAAATAATTACTACATGGTATTTTCATAGTAATAATTAACAGAATTAATTCCTAATAATGTACTAATGTATTTTCATTTTAGGTAAATCAATAACGAAGCTGAACACAGAGGAAATCAAATATTCACTGCGCGAACAGAACTATGGAGCTTTAATACAGAAGGCGTATTCATTTGCTAGCAAGTCTCTGTTGGAGCTTTTGTTGAAGGAGTACGACCTGATGGGTCGCTTGAAATCCGTTAAGAACTACTTCCTCATGAGCCAGGGTGACTTCATTGTACAGTTCATGGATGCCACAGAACAAGAACTATCCAAGAAGATTGATGACATCATACCTTCCAAGTTAGAGTCGCTACTGGGTCTGTGTTTGAGGTGAGCTGATCATATATGTGTTATATATTATGCAGTATGCTATATATATAAAAATGGATTGCTGTTCCTTAGTCTCGCTGAAACTCGAGAACAGTTGAACGTATTTATCTTATCTTAGTCTTGAAATGTTCGTGGAGGTTCAGGGAAGGTATAAAAGCTGAAAAAAATTGATTCATTACTGAGAAAACCATAAAAACAGCCCTTTTCTATTTCCCATACAAACGTTTTTTTTGACATTAGATTTGACAACTAACTAATATGTCAATCATTCTGTCGCACTTCAAAACACGGAGATTTATGGCTTACAGGTAAACTCCAAAGATATAAATAAAAAAACGTAATAGATATTTCTTGATTATAGGGCGATACGAAGTTCGCCAGGTCTTCTAGTATATTATAATTGTTTGAGGTTAAAAATGTGTTGATATAGATAATACTATTTATAGTTAAAATTTGGACTATTAAGTGCAGGGACAACAGTATTAGAGTGGCTGGTCCAAATGTAACAGAAATATAAATGGCATATAAATTAAAAAAATAAACTTAGAGAAAACATAAAATTATTATTAAATATGTATGATGAATATGTACATGGTGTACTCGTATAATATGTATGTTTTGCGTTTTCCAGATTATCAGCTGCTAGTCATGATCCTTATAATGAAGACATGCGAGTTGAACTGCTGCCATATGACCTGCAATTCCAGATGTTCAAGATACTCTCCATTGAGACTAAAGATGAGAAAGGTACATGAATAAAATACTTTTTTTTTTATAAATACTAGTTTAAAGATTAATTAGTAGTTAGTGTGCATCTTGAAATAAAACTTTCAGTTAACATTTAAAACTGTTACATATACATATAGAACCTAAAGAAAAAATATAAGTCCACAAATTACCAGTTATTACAAGACATAACTGTATATCTAGCTTTCCGCCCGCAGCTTCGCCCGCGTGGAGTTCGGTTATATCGCGTTTCCAAGAGAACCTTTCAAAAGTCTGAGATAAAAATTATCCTATGTTTTTCTTAAGGTCAACTCTATCTCTGTAACAAATTTCATTAAAATCAGTTCATACACTCACAAACTTTCGCTATTATAAAATATTATAATAATAAGTGGGATTATATAAGTGTTCCAGAATACAAACAGAATGAAATATTACTGCATATACCTGGTTGTTAATAAATGTAACCAATTAATGTAATAAAATTCTACGATAAACGGAATAATGTCACCTACGACCGGTTATAACTGGTTATAACTACATAGTTATGTAATATCGTTCCAGAATACAAACAGAACAAGGAGTGCCCGCCGCTGTCCGGTATAGAGACGTTCTCGTTTGGTATGGAGGTGAAGTGGCCGGTGTCGCTGATACTTAACCACAAGGCCATCGCCTGCTACCAGATGATATTCAGACACCTCTTCTATTGCAAACACGTGGAGAGGCTGCTGTGTAGGTAAGAGAGCTATTTTATACTAATATCTATTAAGAACAGATTATAACATGTCTCTTGACGATCCTTAGTTACACATTTTATTCGGTAGGAGGCGCTAGTGTATATATATTTTTTTATTACTGAGGTCTTAATAACATTGTCTTGGTTTAAATCATTATTATGACTTTTCTCCTGAACAGTTCCCAGTTAGCCTTCTATTCCCAATCTTCTAAACACAATTATGTTACTAATATTATCTTGGTAAAAGTTTCAGTATCTCGGGATGTATGCGTATATGTTAGTCTCTGTATCTAAATATATAAACAGATTCACGTGAAACTCTTCCATACAATAAGTTAGACATGACAACAACATATAGGTTTAATTATTACAAGAATTCAGAAGAATTTATTAAAGAAGGCGGCGTGAAGATTATATTTTGTATGAAACTACTTGTCATATACAGACGCCACAGGATCGTCACGCTATTTGTATGACTATATTAGTATATTTTATTATTTATCTACTCTTCTTAGAATCTTTCCAAAGTAATGCAGATGAAGTCACGCTCACAATTTAGTACAAATAAATGTATTAGAATTGTAATTTAATTATCAAATAATGTATGTTTTAAGAGCTTAGCGTATTTAGACACTATTGAAGACGGTGAAGGAAAATATCGTTAGGAAACCTGAACTTATAATTTCAAATTATAAGTTTGAAATCACCGAACCGTCTTGAGCAAGTGTGGTGATTAATGCTCAAAACTTCTCCATGTGACAAGAGTCCTTCGCTCAGCTGTGGGCTCTGATAGGCTGATGATGATGATGATGATGATGATGACATGTTTTCTAGAGTGTGGCTGTACAATAAGGTGGTGAAGCGTTTCTCCGAGGCTCGCCTGTATGCGGATGCGTTCGCCCTGAGACAGCGCATGTTGAGCTGCGTCCAACATCTACAGTACTACATGTGTGTGGAGGTCATTGAACCCTCCTGGTGCCAGCTGATACAGAGCTTGGATAATGTGAGGCATCACTAACTTATATATTATAAATAAAACCAATATTTAATCAGATCTAAGACTATGGCGGATATTCAGTTGAATGCAACTAATGTTTTCGGATTATTTCACGTTATTTTATTATTTAAAAATTATATACGGTCAGACAGGATAAGATTCTAAGTTAAAAGTAGTTAAAGTACTCGATCGATTAGTAAATCTGAGAAATATTAGTCTTATTTCAATGAACGCTCGCGAGTCTTAGATCTCATTATATACTACACTTGAAGTGTGCACTGCCTTACTAAGGGGCCATCCATAAAATACGTCACACTAATTTCATGAGTTTTCGAGCCCTCCCCCGTCCTTGTCACAGGTGGTCACATTTCTGAGACCCCCCCCCTCCCTAGTGTGACGTCACATGTTTTGCAATTTAACATCGAAAAATTATTAAATTAAAACAGCAGTTCCGAAATCAGTTTTATTTCCATTTAAAATAAGTACTTTTTTAAGAAATCATCATAGTATCAAATATTTGAAATAATAAATAAACTAAGGAATATATACAGGGTGACTGGTGAATTACTATCGATACTTGAGGACGTGATATTTGACGATCATATATGACAAAATAAATATTAATATAACATAAATATTAATAAACTTCTAAGTAAAGTTAACCAAAACTTATGTAATTCATTACGCATCGTGTGAACAGTCTACAGATTAGGTATACACACACACACGCGCGTTTGGCGGCGTGGTGTTATATCAGCACGCCGCTAGCACGCGTCCACACTTGGAACACTTGGAACGTGTCCTCACTTTATTTATTTATACGGAAATTTAGTCATAAATTAAGTACCTTTTTTTTACATAATTCGAATGAGAATCATGTACCGAGTATTCTCCTTAAATATTGATAGTAATTCATGTGATGACGCGCTCAGTTTTAAAGATTTTAATTAATATTTCAAATTACGCGATTAGTAGCTCTAGATTTTGAAATGTGATGTCACGAAAGTTAGGACCCCTCCCACCCCTTGTCACACCATGTCACACTTTGTCGACCCCCTCCCACCCCCTTTACGTGTGACGTACTTTATGGATGGCCCCTAATACGTACTGAAAAATTCTTTTCTTATTAATCTAATAATAAATAATTTTCTTAATTTCTTCCTTTTCTTATTATAATTGTTTATTGATGTTTATATCTGATTCAGTGTTTTTAAATTTAAACTTTACTTTTAACTTTACGTCGATTTTAGCCAATTTACTATAAAACATACTCTTTTGACTATGAAAGGTATACAGAAGGGCATATAATTTTTTTAACTGTTTTGCATCTCCTTTGGACTTAATAGAGTTAGTTGTTTAAAAAATATATAGAAATATTTTAAGTTACAACTTAAACTATGTCAAAGATAGGTTTATTATGTAAGATAAATTATTTACTATTTGATAGGTTGTGACAAAAAAATCATAGGCATTATTCATATAACACTCTTAAAAACTTTAAGTAGCCAATAAATATATCGGCTTTTAATTCCTTGATCACTTTTTCATGGTATTTTTTTCGTTTAAAATGAAAGTCCATATATTTATTTTGATAAAAATTTATTTTTAACACATACGTGATATTAAATTACTGTATTTTTAAATATAAATTTTAATATAAATACATACAACAATACTGTTAAAATATATTTTTAATATATATTTTTTAGTTATGGACTCGTTGGCTCATGTAGCGAAGTGTGGTATATTTATAGTTTAATACCAAACATATATTCTGATCATTATTTAAGGTATGTCCATTCGTGTTAGAATCTTCTTCAATGCAACTTCCAAACCATTAATTTTATTTTCGTACGTAGAAAGTCTTGATTTAATTTCGTCGAATTCTGAAATGTGTGTTCTTCTGCTTATAATAAATTTAGCGTTTTTAACTATTCTTCGTTCCAATCTCAAGGATTGACATCGTTCAAAACAACACTGCCCACCCTCTATATCCTCGTAATCATCGCCAGCCTTCATGAGCGGTTCAGGTTTCGGTATTTCAATTCGATTGTTCTGATTCGGCATCACTATTATACGAAACTTTGGCAGAAAGTGTGGAAACAGACATATCCGCCTGGCGAACGGCTTGATGCACAACATTTGGGGTTTGACGAAATGTAAATTCTGTAAGTATGACGGCAGCCACGACCAGCATTTTCTTGGCTTTGTGTAGGCTTTACCAATGAGAACGCTTTCAAAGTAAGAAATGAGTTTAACACGTGATATGTGACCCACTAACTCAGCATCCGCTCTTATCTCTTGAGTGTCACTGACAGCTAAACCGTTTAATAAATTAAACAATACTATGGGCACCATGAACACGAAAACTGTGAATATAAGGTGACTCGTCACTGGGAAGGTACTGAACTTTATAGAGCCAGCGTCGAATTCACCAGTCAACATGACGATCGTCTTAAACAAGGAACTGCCAGGGTCTTCAAAGAAATCTTCATCCTCATCCTCTGAAGCTGCCTCGTTAAGATTCGGCGCCTTTTGATCTTGTTCGGAAATAACTTTTCTGAACAGCGTATAGAAACTAAGAGCGAATGCAATTATTAGAATGCAATACCAGAGAAGGAACTTAAAGAAATTCCAAGAGACAGTTCGCAGCATTACAATATTTGTTGATAGTGTTGGGAATTGACCGATTAGCAGAACAAGTTCAGCTGATGATAGTAATATGGCGACAGCTGATAATTGTTGTTTAGTGGATTCCTCTGCAGCGTCATAACCAAGAATCCAGGCTGTGACAAATATCAGAGCTATCTCCATCCAATTTTCTATACTCTGCAAATATCGCGTCGGTGATACGAGTAGTTGGAACAGTTCGCGCATAATCAAAAGTATCAATCCAATTACTGCTCCTACGTGCGTCAAAACATTCAGGGCTTCAACAGATTTATTTTTCTGACCTTCCACTCCATAGCCTAATATGATATATAGAATCAAACACAGCCACAGAAGAGAGTAAAAGGTTATGTTTGCATAGAACAGGCAACTTATCCGTTGCCATTTTAAGTAAAGGAAACTTGTTATGACTGGATGTTTTAGGAGCGGTCGCAATTCCTCATTTCTTGTCATATATAAGAGCGCTTCCGTTTCTGGAGCTAGTATGGCGTCACACTTTCTGATGCTGTTATTATTATTGTTCGAATTTTCCATCAGAGGCATCTGGCACAATTCATTTTCTAATGAATTATTCGGATACACCAGAAAGCTGTATTTCATATGTATTTCGTAATTCTCGTCACTCGGTCGTTCGCTGTTCGTTGTAATGCATTCGTCTAAGTAGGTTTCTAATGTTTTTGCATTAATATCGGCTAACGGGGGTTCATCAAACGCGTTATTGAGACCAACACACGCTCCGTTTCTCAGTAAATCTAATACAGTTTCGCTGTCTCCATTCCTTGCAGCATAGTGTAGCGCTGTATTGTCCTTCATGTCTTGGTGGTTGATGTCGACGTTAACTTTGGGATGTTTTAATAATAAATTCAGACAAGCTTTGAAATTGATTTTTGGACTCTCAACAGCTTTACGCATTCCTTTAACAGTGATTTGCACCAGAGATTCGCTGTTAACCGGGTCGAATAGACTTGATTCGCTGTCTATAAACATTTTAAGGATCTTATGATATCCATTGTGGCACGCTATAGCGATGGGTCGTCTATTGTTTCCTGAACAAGTTGCGTTCACATCTGCACCCGCATTGAGTAACGTTTGCACGACCTTTTCCAATCCTTTATCAACTGCCAATTGCAACATCGTATTCATGCCGTTGTCAGCCGCAAGCATGGGTCGATGTTCGTTCTTCCTACTCAATTTAGTGAAGTCTCTTATAAAATTATCTTCTTCATGTCTTAGTAAATATGAAAACAGTAAATCTTTGTCAATACTGGGCTCAATGTTCTCTATAGCGGAATCAAATTTTGGCAGTAAATGTGGAAATGCCTCTTTCAAATAGTACCTTGCTGTCTTACCCTTTATATCTTTATACGTGTCTAAATCGATTGGATCTTTTGAATAGTCTAAGATCAGAGTGACGACCCTCTCTAGACCTTGCTTGGCTGCTGAATATACAGGTGTTATACCTCTCAGATCTGGGGAATTAGCGTTGCATCCAGCTTTAAGAAGCTTCTCCACCATATCCTCGTATATATCTAGATCGTGTTCCCGATCTTCGTCTAAATCTTGTATCTGTTTGATGGCCATCAGTAGCGCGGTGTTGCCTTTCCACCTCGTGTCCAAATCTATTCTATCATCTTCTAGGAGTACTGCTAAAGCCTCGGCGTTACCGTTCTCAACAGCGAAATGTATCGGCGCTCCGCCATGTGTTTCGTTGATTTTATTAACTTGGACTTCATGCTGGAGAAGAAGTTTGATGAATTCGATTTTATTTGGTTCTGAAACTGCTATTTCTAGGCAGGTCTTGTAGTCTGGGTACGGGTACACGTATTCAAGGTCGACGGCACCGTAACTGACTAGCTTCTTGAATGTTCCGTAGTCGTTGGAACGGAGCGCGGTTCGCAATTGCACCTGAGGATCCCCACCGAACAGCGACCCGCCTCGAGACAGACGGTTGTTCATCTCATAACTGTCCTTCGTCATGGTTCATTAAACTCGACTCTGTAATTTAGAAAAATTGGCCCTTAAATTTCAGTATCAATTAATTTCATTGCTCCCAAATAAATGATTGCAACGATTAAACAATTGGATACAAGAAACTAATTTCTTTCGTACGAGTTGTATCTTTTAACGCGAGCTTTTATCTCGAGGATTTAAACTTGTACTAATTCGTTTGAAGTATAGTTTGTTTGGATGTTTTAGATTAGTTCGTAAACACGCGTGTGAATCCGCTGTGATGGGAGGAAATAAGTCTTTAGCTGAGCGTTAATGTTTGACATAACGAGATATAATTTACACCACCATACTAAGTATTGCAAGCAAATAGAAGCATTTCTTTAAGCTTCTTTATCATCCGACAAAAGTATCGTATTTAAAAATCATAATCATAGTATATGTTTTCTTTAAATAAACCGTACAAAGAGTTCTCATGAGCCTATTATTCCCAATTTACCTGAATGCCATAAAATTAATGCATGACGCGTGCGGTGCGAGACGCTCTGATATAATCAAGTAATTGCCCCCATTTTCCTTCCATCACTTGTGACTTTATTGTTAAACTAAGCTTTTGTTACATCGTTTCTTTAATAATGGACCTTACGATTATAGGGATAGCGTCTAATATACAATCTCGTATACGGTCTTATTAAGTCCAATTTGTATGGGACTATATTGCTACGTTTTAATGAGCGAAGTATTAATGAGCGCTGTTTTCATCTGAATGGTGTATTAATAAAAATCTAAACGTACGTATCATATAAATTATAAATGATGTTCAATGTTCTGTTATCTTAATCGTATAGCGTGTCTCTGGATTTGTAACGGCGATTTGTTTTAGCGTTCCGGATTATAAGAAAAATATTTGTGTTGTAAACTGTATTGACCGCGACTAAAATATTGTTAATAAACTATAAATGTATGTGTATGACCCTATTGTATGAAACACGAGCTTATTGTGATTAACTTACTTAATAATTTGCATATCTTCTATAGTTGAAAGCTAAAATTTAAAAGTAATGTTGTTGCCTCTTCTTCAATGTCTAACCTTTAATATGAATTTCCGTTCTAAATTTTACTCGTTGTGAAACTAGTTACTCCATCTTTTTTGTTTCTTCGCTCTCTTTAATCTACCTCAGAGATCACTTTTTATGAGACGTTTGAAGTCATCACAATAAAAACCGCGTTTTCTTAAAATATAGATTTAGATTTAATAATTTTAAAATGTTTCATTATTATTTACATATTAAATTTCATTCAATATATTCAGTAAGTGCACTTAAAATAGTTAAAAAAAAATATTTTTGTCATTAAACATACATATTATATCAAAAATTAATTAAAATCATTAGCACTTTCGTAATCTTTTAATTTACATACAAAGTTGAAACGCTTTAGGTATTTGAATTTATTTGTGAATATTGATACTAATAAAAGATTATTTCTTATATTATGTATGTAGTTATAATATATGTATCATTACTGATATAACTATAGTATAACAGATATTAAACTAGACAAGATTTTATCAAGACAGCAACCATTAAGCCTCCTGCATTATCCTAACAAAACAATATACTTAATCCTGTTTCAAAATATAATTTTTGTATAGGTATATTATACTAGACTTCCGCCCGCAGCTTCGGCCGCGTGAAGTTCGGTTATATCGCGTTTCCAAGAGAACTTTTCAAAAGTCTGGGATAAAAACTATCCTATGTTCTTTCTCAAGGTCAACTCCATCTCTGTACCAAATTTCATTGAAATCAGTTCAGCGGTTTAGGAGTGAAAGCGTAACAGAAGGACAGACAGAGTTACTTACGCATTTATAATATTAGTAGGGATTCAATTCAATATAATATGTATATATAACGTTACGTTCTAAGTACCTATAATAAATATGATTATTATCAAGGCTCGGAATATTTTCGTCAGTTAAATCGTCTCACCTACCGTTCGAAGGATGTTCATTAATTATTTTTATACTGCTTTATGATATTAATATAATTTATGTTAATTAACTCCGTCATAGTGTTTTATGTTTACATATAATGACTCAGACAGTCGTTAAGTACGTGCTATAAGAACTTAAAATATCAATTAATTCCCTTGAAGTAAACCAGAGGAAATGAGAAATTAGACATTAATTTAATATATTTTAAAAATTTCTCTTTCGTACCCATATTTAACCGATTTAGAAAAACGAGCAAGTTGTGAATTCATCCCTACTTTGTTACTTTATGACTTTCAATATAATAGGTATATTTATCAAGCATTAATCCACGTAAGTTATTTAAATCCTAGACATATCTTATCTACCCTAGATTCAATAATAGTGCCCATGTCTGAATGAATGCCACAGTTCTATAATCATAATGCCATCAGTTGTTAAAAGTTGCACATTTATCAGTAATAATAATAATGCCAATGTTTTGTTTGAACCGTTGTTAATAATTGGATTAATAGTCAGCTTCCGTTGTTACAATATTATATCTCTGATAGTACCGTTATCCGTGTTTTGTAATCGTGATGTCAGAACTGGAAAAGCATTAAAATTGTGGCTTTTGATTTAAAAAAAATAAATTACAATGAACATGCTATAACAGTCTTTGGTGAAGTTATTTAATAAAAACTATATAATAATTCTTTTGTTTAGAACCTTTATTCTCATAGTGAATCTTTTTATAAGTTAAACTATATATAATTTTAATATTATTTTTTCAGTAATACGTGTTTTATTAACGTTATTTTTGTGTATAAAATATTCCATTGGTAATACGTTTTTTTTTTATTGTACGTGGGCGATCGCGCTGCCTAATATGGTAAGCAAGGACTGAATCAGCGAAGGTTTTATATATAACATCATATTGAGAAATTCACAGACATAACGTTAAAATAAACTTACAAACAATTATTTAATATTATATTGGACTTAAACTTAGAAAATATACAAAATGATGGTATTTTATTGTTACACTAACTAAACTATGTATAAGTTTTGATTTACTACTTTAATATCAATTGTTATAATATAATTGAAAATTATAAATATAATTATATTTATAAAATTTCATAGCTTATAATCAACTTGATTAATATTTCTTTGAAATCGCAGTAGCAAAATACTACTTTTGTTAATCATAGTACAAGCAGAGACGTAACAGTTTTTCTTTCATAAATATTTATACACACACGAAAGGAATTAACTGGATTAGTTACGGCAAACGATAGTTTGTTGATGCGAACTTGTGGTAAGAGTAGTAGCTACCTACAAACATGCAGCTTAGTCTTATATACATATAGTGTATTTCAAACTTGTGCTAAATAACAGATAACAGTTTAATTAGAGTAAATGTAAACCAAATTATAATTTAGTTTTGTTTAAATTATAGGAAGAATGGTTGAATACTTTTAAAGACTATTTGGTTTCTCATACTCAAGAATATTAATGTGTTTCGAAGTATTTCGTGTAACATTTTTAGTGTATTAGTTACGCTTGCAACACGTCCGCTTGACCAAATGCCTCAATGCTGAGACGTATTTGAGATTTTTGACTGGATTGAAAAAGATCTGTTATGTTTAAGACGTGTTTTTGTATATATGTTACGGATTTTCACCTAAACTCGATTTAGTATTTCGTTTCCATCTTAAAAATCTGTTCAGTAAATAATATAGCTACATATATGTGGCTATACGCGGTTTTATTGGCCTACTTCAAAGTGGTAGGTTCTGTGTTCGGATTACGTATGTGTTCGCGATTTTATGCAAAATATTGATGTGATTTGAAACTGTTAAATATTATTATGATAGCACATTATTTTATAATGAATAACGATATTTATAATATATTATATAATTTATTTCCAATTTTACTGATGTGTTCGAAGTTAAAAGTATTCTTCTTGTAAAATCTTCCTCAGTAATCCATATATTTCTTGGATACTCAAATTTAAATGTAAGAAGCCGGGTCGCGGTATCAATTGACCGAACAGAAGGCAAACATTTAATGTTTACTTTGTATTTGTATTACACTGAACACTTTTTCACTTTAATATGTAACGTTAAACATATGTAGTTTACGTATTTTTAAGAAAAACGGATAGTTTAAAGTACGGAACACATGGTAAGGAGAAATAAAAATGTTAACTTAAATGTAAAGTGTAAGCGATGTTCCGAGTTACGAATCTATTTCGGCGTGGTGTTTGCGATGTTTTTTTAAATAACGTTTCCACCGACCGTTGTTAAACACTTCCCATCTGTTACGCACGGCGAACAGTGGCTTTTGTACATTTAGTTTTGATTTGATACATTTTATCTGTAACATATAAAATTCACTGGAATTAAAATATACAAAAAACGTAAAATACATCGACGAACGAACCCAATGGTATGGCCAGTTTAAAATAATATAACATATAATTTATTTCATTGCTTCCATATGCAAACTACACACACTATAGTTATAATATCGATAGTTGACACATTTGAATAGCATATCCCTATTTGGATGTCATACTATGGGTGATAACTCCGAGCCAAATCGAGTGTATGCGACCCGCTTGTCGGTTTTTTTGTGTCGGAAGTCACTAATGTATTCACCAGACAAATGAGATCGCATCATAAATTAGTTTTCCCATCACTATTTAAGTTTAAAAATCGATGTCAAATATTAAAACCGTATTTTGTATATTGATAATAAAAGTAATGAAAGAATTAATCTAGATATTGAATTAAGGTAACTAGAAATTGCATTGACATAAATACATCACTGAATAGTGTTAAAATATCTAAAATTACACTCAATAGATTAAATAACCGATTTGTAGCCCGCATCTTCTGCTCACACGGATAAAATCTAGATATATCTATGAAAAGAGAATAATATAGTATAGTATAGTTATAAAAGAATGTTGAATGTCTCATTATAATAAAGTTCAACAAACAATATAGTGAGTAAAGCGCATTCATTTGGAAATCACTTCAGTAAATCGCTGACTTTCAAATTTTAACCTGTGAGCCGTCTTAGGGTCAAATCTATTATGTCATGGGTATTTGTGTATTGCTTAATATATCCCATAAAATCTACGTACTTATATGTGAATAAATTGACCGAAAATTGTCTTGTGCAATTTACGAATGCATAACAGATATTCAACTTGCCAACCACAATATTGCATACACGAATCTCGCATCCGTCTCGTTATATTATATATCCTGTTATTAGTATCATCATCGAAGTTTTCATCGATACTTATAAAATCTATCGTAAATTAGGTTTAGATTTTTACGTAAAACCAATTTGTGTCATGATTCCGTCACTGTAACCGCAAAACTAGACGTAAAACATATAGTATTGCTAAGTATAACCAGTTTGATTCCAGCCTCCCACTTACTGCTGGTGTATCTATATTTCTTATTGGTACAGATCATTGAGTCAATTAAACTAGTTGTTGCCCGTGTGTTTGCATGTCCTGTGGTGACGTCATCACGACCTTGCTACAGGACCACATCATCCGATCCCCAATTCAATGTTTGCACCCACATATGTTGTACAACTTTGACCTTTCTCGTATGTTTTATTACGAAACTCGATGTTTGCTTTGTTTGACTGTGGTTAACAATATAAATTCTCTCTTCAATCGTTTATAAAATAATTGTATTGTCCATTTGAAACTAAATCCGATGTAATGTATACAATGAAATATATTTCTGATCGTATATTGTAACGTAAACACATCTCTTTGTCCGCAGTAAAAAACAAACACTTTCGCGTCTATTCACCACCATTATTAGATTAAATTCACAATTACTATTCTTATCGTTGATTTCAATACCAACCTGTATGTATATTTTATCCCAATAACCGAACACTAGCACTGTACAAGTGAGTTCTCATACCGAGCGGCCGTTTCGCTCGGTGTCTGAGTGTGACATGCGCCCGCGCAGCTCGGACCCCGCGATATTGCTGATCCTGCGGTACTAACTCAATTAACTATCGTATTACAAGAATAATGTTGCGAGCCTGATAGTTTTGTGTGAGGAATATTATAACAATCTTCGCAGGATATGTCCATCGGGAATTCATTTAGATTCTTTGTTCTTTTTCCATATATTTTTGCTGGTTCACTTCTTTAGCGATTCTGTGATGATTTTTTGCGGTAGGCGGGGCGTTCTGTAGGCGGGCTCTACAAAGGTTACATTAGTCAGTCTTGAATTCAATACACTTATTGACTACTATAATTGTTCACGGAATAAATAGTTTTTTGTTATACAGCTGAGAGATTTTCGTTAAGAATTGGAAAGTTTAGGATTATTTTTGTTCGATTTTCTCTGTGGGAGTTGGAGTCGACGATGCGTTTATTCATGCTCAGTTCACCTTGTACTGAGGACTTAATTTATATTGTTAATGTATATTTTTGTGGTGAATGATCTCTTTAAATTTTATTCCTGTTAAATATATTATAAATACAACAGATGAATGTCTTCGTCGTAACACAGTTAGCTGTGTTATCTCTAAGGATATCCCATTAGATAATACACCTAATGCATTTAAACACATTTCAAAATATGAGTCATCGAAAAAAAGATTAAAGATATTCATCTGCTGCAGATTTACTAAGAATTTTGATGTAATAGAACGTTTAAAATCATATATATATATTTTATTTTCTCATCTTTCAAGACTAAGGTCTTATAATACTATTACTGTATAACCCAAATCCTAATACGTAAGTTTCGTATCTTAGTAGAATATCAAACGATCTATCTACTGTAAGTAACTACGGGCGTCCTTGCTCTCAGTAATAGGTATGTATGAAAATATCAAAATAAGTAAAAGACATGATCACCAAAGTACAATAGGTATAGTCAATTAAGTTAATAGTTAAAAAAAATACCTAAGAAGAACGCGACGATAGTCAGGTTAAAACACTAGACATTTAATCATCAGTTCACAATAATATTTACAATGAAATCATAGAACTAACAAGTGAAGGTCATTTCAAGGACTTGGGAATTTGAGGTCTTTATGTGACTACCCAAGTGCTATGACACTGTAGTGTGTGTGGACTTGAGGAAATTCCGCCTAAAGTCCTGGATAGCAATCTATGAATTGTGATCTGGCATCAAAATAGTACTGCATTATTATCTCTGCTCTCCAAAAACACTGAAACACATATCAGTTATGTCATAGTAATAAGTTTCTTATAATTAATATTCCAGGTGAATAACGTGGACGAGGTTCTGGAGCGGCACAATGACTTCTTGGAGTCGTGTCTAGGTGACTGTATGTTGACCAGCCCCCAGCTGTTGAAGGCTGTCACCACTCTGTGCCTCGTCTGCGTGCAGTTTTGCACCTTTATACAGGTGAGTTGTTCTTCATTCGCCATAAGTATCACCTGTCTATGTAAAAACTAATTTAGGCTTCCCGCAGACGACATTTCATTCAGCTTATTGACAGTGGGATCCCATTACCTTATACTAAACGATCGGAATTCGTAACAATAATATTTAAAATTCACGCTCAAGTGTTGTTGATATTTGATCTATAAACGATCTTATTTGATAGTTTTTAATATTCCTTTATCTCATTATTACGAAAAAACTATAGAATTTAAATGTAATTGAGTGCTTATTTATCACTTGTAATTTGACACATAGTTTCTGTATATATTTATTTATCAAGGTGACGCTGAAAATTCACACAATGCAATTTTTTCAATATATTATAATATTTATATAGGGATTCCACTCTACTTCATCCTGCCACCACCTTTTATTTCATGTAAAATTTAATTAATGTTATTTCTTTATTTTTCTATAACTCAAGTATTTGTAGATTCAGAATTGATTTTGTGAAAACGATTATTAACAATAGCCGATCATCCAATACCTACATGTTATATAAAAATGCTTATTTTTCTTTATGAAATTATCCCTAAACAAATATTTGTGTTATTATAACTTCTTTATATGTTTAATTAGGTTATATTTAATATAATATATTTTAATATTATTTCAATACTCATTTCTTTGAAAACGAGACATACCTACGTATATGTCGCCTTCTAATTTTCTGTTTATTTAATTAACACAATTCTTTTGCTTATATGTGTTCTTCTATATAAAATAGGTGGTTTCTATTTTTTTAAAATATCTTTTCCAACCACAAGTCAGAAAACTAAAAGATATATCACAATGAAAAATATCCTTATATCTGGTCATATAAAACATGAATTAATGAATCATGAAATAGATCAATTCGTTGCTAAAGATAATTTAAAAAAATCCTAAGAGAAATCATCTATTTTTCATATAAATATGTAATACCTATGTAAATTTGTAGAACGAAAATAAATTTAAGAATTAAATTTATTTCTTAACGTTTTATAATTGCAATGTGCATGTTATAACGCCTCTATTCTAGTCTAGTACTAGTAGTATAGTATAGAAGCTTGTGATATTAATTTTATTTTGTGTTGTTTATGCGATCTAACATATAATTGGCAAAGGAGATGCGAAAATACTTCGTGGACGCCGAACTAAACAGTATGCTTGGGACGACCTATGATAATGATTACGAGGTATTGTTTACGAAGGGGAATATATACACGTAAAATAGATTTAAAATATTATTAATAGTACACAAAAAAAATCATATTAAACGTATATTTGGATTATGACTTGTTCTTACATCTGTTGCGGGTAGTTTTCTATCTGAGAAAGTAATTTTCATATACTAGTCGAGTATTCAATACAAATAATAATTTTTCCATTAAGTATTTCTTTGATAAAAACATTACATACATTATGTGTATTTTTCTTTCTTTCTTTCATGACTTTTCTGAATCTTTTATTCAGACCACGGTAAGTGTTTTCTGTCTATCAATTATTTTTTTCTGTATACGTAAAATGTAGTGTTTGTTATTTGATGTTAGTCTTTTGTGTATATATAAGTATTTTTTCTAACAGTCTGTGGTTTTATGAACTGTAAGATTTTGATGAAAATTGTCTATGGTGGCTTGCCTCCAAAAATATATATCGTTTTTTCAACCCGATAAAAAGCAAGTTGATTTCTTGTCGCTTTTAACGTAAAGCTTATGTAGATTATGAAAAGCTTAGGATTAAGAAGTTTTCTGAATTTATATTAAAATTTGTCGCACAATTCAGGCATTAATATACACTTACCATTTAATTAATACTGTTACTATAAAGAACATACAAAATAACAATTTTTTGAATTGTATTCTGTCGTTTTTGTAACACGCTTTTACTAGCTTGGGTTATATGTATCTATGTAACAGAATCTTGCAGCTTAATTTTCACTGGTTTCTAAAAGTCTGGACCGATGACAATGTAATAATTTGATAACAGTTTTCTATTATTGATTATCCTTATTGGGACCGCTAAAATTAATGACATCTTTTATAATTCCTCTCATGAAAGATAGAGCTAGGCCGCGGTCTGTGCATGTCTGCAGTTTGGGCTTACTTTTTTTAAATTAATTGAACTATAAAATAAAAAAATGAATAGTTTAAAAAAAAAAAACTAAAAAAAACTCGCTTCTATAGTTAACCCAACTAAAAAATATAGAATAATTTTCAATTACCAATAAATTAATTCAGAGTAAAAAGCGTGGGGTGCTTGATTTTGAAAGTTACTATCATTCTAGTGGCAACTATTTATAAGAGGAAATATTTGAAATGTAGTCAAATAAATCCCACGTTATTTTATTAATAAGATAGTTAAACCAAAAATATGCCCGCCATTCACGGGTTTGTTAAGCCTCATACATCCAATATGTTTTGTTCAATAAACAAGAATTATCAGTTTGAGAGTGTAAGGCTTGTTTTAAAAGCTGAACTAATTTGGAGACCCAAAGAATTTTTTGGAGAATCAAAGAAAGAGCAAAAATAACTCAACGTTTAAACGACGGTGTTGGAGCAAATGAGCCAATGATAACCATACAGATTTCTACATTGTATTATCAAGTAAAATTTAAAATATATTCCCTTTGTCATTGCAAAAGTATTTATGACGAGACAAAATATTCAATGAATCCATTCTATATAACACTTTATATAAATTAGATCAGATTTAACGAGCATTATCTTTCCATTGATCATTGTTTGTATAACGTATACAGACGAACAGACATAAATATAACGACCATAGTAAAAAATATGTATCTCATAAACTGTATGAATGTTTGTATCAGAGTGCGGAGGCTGTTCCCGGGTCGGGCTCGGCGGATTCGTTCTCTCGTTCCGTGTCACGCTACGGGCTGAGGTTCACGGCAGCGCTTCTGTCCGTTCTGGCCATCATCGAGCGAATGGCCAGAGATAACAACACCAACAAGCTGCTCAACATATCAGCCAGGTGACCTTACCTTCAACGAAATGACAATATGGAATATTAGAATCTGTTGTCATGGGCTACCAGGAGAAAATTTTGTATGATTCGTGTTCTAAATGTCTAATATAGTAAGCTTCGAATACCCAATCAACCGATATATTGCTCGAACTGAACTTTTTATTACATTACTTATAATATGGTGTTTAAAAAAAATTGAATTTATTCAATGATGACCACATGTAAACCATTTCAAAATTGTGCTAATAAAAATAATATCATAACTTTCAGATTAAATTTCAACACATACTACGTGAAGCAGTTGGAGAAGTTCTGTTCTGACGAGACGCTCCTAGAGACGGACAAGAAGTCGGGCGCCTCCTAGCATCCGGCCCTGCGCGTTACCGCGGTTTAAACAAAGCGCCATGTATGGAACAAAACAAACACTCATTACATTCACGTTGAACTGTTCTCAACATATTAACAACGCCATCTATTGAACAAAACTAGTAACTAGTAACAAAACTATTCATTCATAATATCCAAATTAGTTAATTGTGTAATCAACTTGCTATGCTACAATTAATGTAGCTTATAATATTTCATAGCACTTTGGAGTACCATCACATTATTATATTAAAAGTAATAAAATAAAACTAATCGAAGTTTAGGAAAATGTTCGGTATATAAATTTAGAGTACGTATTTAGTTTAGATACAAACACAATATTATGTACAAAATTATAGATTCGATAATAGTTCTATGAAATTAGGTTAAAAACTGTTTGGCTGTTATTTTTATATCACACCGAGATAAGGATTACCTAATCATATTTTGTATGATATCTCTAGATGCTTGTGGTAAATATTTTACATAAAATAAAGCAATTTCATCATTAATTATTAATAATGGAAGAAGTTTTCTTACCGCGGTACTAGTAGATAACTTAATTAAAGTAATCCATCTAACTAATGGTACAAATTATAAAGTTGTTTGAAATATTTTTAATACGAAAATACTTTGTACTCTAAAAAATATATTTTTTAACGAGCACATGTATTGGACTGAGATAAGAGAATTAAATTAACGTAGAATAAGGAACTAAAGATTGTGTGATGCCGAGGTAGTTTTAGGGCCTTAAATAATTTGGAAATCTCAATCCTTAAGTAGTCTGAGTAAGAGATTTGTTATAGAAGAACGTTAGTAGAACATTTGTTCTAACCGAATGTGTGTGAAGTCATATAATTAGATATTAGTGTCCAAAATTCCTTGCCATACTACGCCATGACATAGATAGCTGTGAAACTACTTCCTTAGATGTTAGAGATTATTTCTCACTGAATCTTTTCTATTAATATTTCTTTAACAATACTTGATAGTACTACTTCTGTTAGTTTAACATCTAGTTGTCAAGTTGCAATAAAGAGCTATTTTGTTTCCGTTCCATTAACAATAAAAGTCACAAAATGGATGACTAACAATATTTTAGCAAAATAAATAATTATTTTTAATATGGCGTTTTATTTAATAACTAACTGTTACGAATAATGTTTTCGTATGTGTCAATAGAAATACGCCTTCCTTAAACTTTATAAAGGGCGGGATATTTCTATTAATCGTATTAAATAAGTTCTTGTTTTTTTTCCTAAGAATTGAAATTTAGAACACTTTATTGCATTTTTCCAGTAGTAATTTTTCATGTATACTACTAGCGATCTCTAACGTGATATCCATGTAAATAATCTTGGATTTTTTGATTTTGGATTGGACTCAGATATTCAAAATTCTTGAGTGACTAATTTACGAACAGTATAGAAGTATGAAGTTCTTTAAAATATAACGATCTTTTCCGTTCGTCACAGATAACATTTAATCACATCTATCAAACAAAAGGCGATTTAGAGAATATGACAACGATTAGTTTCGTAATAAATGAGTTATGTACCTAAGTTGAAAAGCAGTTTTCAACGTCATAATGAAAGTTACTTTGGCTTAATTTAATGTAACTTGGTAGGGTCGTATAACAGCAATAGGTGAAACGGTTGTTAGTAGCCGTTCCTAGGCCTAGGCCTCTTACTTACCAATACTAGGGAAATTATTTATCGCTTCCTTTATAATGTGCGTGACTGCCTACCAATTACCAAATGGAATTTGTAAGTAATATATACAAATTCATAATTCATATTTTCTTTTACTTATGCTAATTAAATACGAGGAAAAATTTAAAAAGAAATCTACTTTACAAAATAGAGATTATTCCACATGTTAACATCGGAAATAAATATATGTGTGATACACTTATTAAAATATAAAATTGGTAATAAATCAGGATAAGTTTATAATTAGAAATTGTACTTGATCGTTTGCGATTCTATAGTCTGTTCAAAGAACTTATAAAAATGTTGTAATTTGGCATTAATTGAATATATTTTCTGTTGATAAGATTTACAAATAATTCGTCTTTTGTTTCCTACTTTAATATTATTTTTAATTTTTGGTTGCAGATCAACGTAATTATTATATTATTTAATGTTTTATAAAATTAAATAATGCTTATGTTTTGAATCATTCTATAATTTTAGACATTTTTTGGGAACTTCGTTTTAATTTTCGGAAATATTAAACTTATGATATGAGTAAAATAAACAATACACGGGAAAATTACTAGTTGAGTATATGAATAAATAAGTAAAGAAAACAAGACTCGGAAAACACAGTTACCGGTCGTGAATTATTGTCGTTCGGTGTAGTAGCTAAAGAAACAGTAGGAAATACAATACTGGGGAGGGAAGGGTACAGTCTCATATAAAACGACTGAGTGAGCTATTGCGCGGTATAAATTTAGAGAATCATTAAACTTGTCTTATAATAACTTTCAAATGGTTTGCCCGAATTAAATTATACAAAAAGTAATTTACAGATACTCTTAGCTTGAACACGAAGTATGTACTTTATTTTGATAAGATTTTATACCGCTATTACTTATTATGTAGTTGTAAAATGGATATAGTATGCTATCCTTAGAGATAGACATATGTCACCGTAGACTGTTTTGTAAACCTATACAAGATACACAATTTCACCCAATGGTTTTGTTATATCTCAAAGGCTTAAGGCAGCGTTTTCGTTACAAGGTGACAGACGGCTTATTTTTCCCGAAATCTTTAATAAATTTCGTTAATGTACAAACAAATCAATACAAAACCTTAAGTAATAATATACTTAAATCTTCCTCGAGAATCACGCTATCGAGTGGTGGAAACCACTTTATAAGCAGTGCAGAGGTTTTTTGTTTATCGCTAACAGACAGACAGATAGACGCGGCGGGGGACTTTGTTTTATAATAAGTATTGATATTGATGATATAGGTATATAATTAAAACCATTTCCATTATTAAACAAACTACTAGTTCTGTAAGTAATATATATTTATTTATTTAATTATAATTTCTTGATCAAAATGAAAAGCAGAAAATATTAATACAATACTTACAGTTAATCAACCATCCACCCTCCTAAGGTTATTTTGTAGTTTACTGTTCACTTCAACAGTTGTCTTCAACATAAATATTAACAAAAAAAATGATTTCTACTATTTGACACAAAATTTGTGACCTTATTTTGTATTGTTACAAATATGTAAATTTGAAGAAAAATTTGTAATAATGCGTAACATTAATATTTTCATTACGTACCTACTGATTCATCACGAACTTAATAGTGTTGGGGTAAAATTAATCATAGAACAATGGCACCCACGTAGAAAACAACTATATTTGCATCAAAACATTTATTGTATAAATTTTGTCTAACAATCAATTCTGGTTTATGTTACTTTGCGGGTTATCAGTTATACATTATTCTAGCAAGGAAAAGGAATGAATATGGACTAAGGTTGAGTGCTTTGGCTGTGTTTGAACATAAATCTGCTTTCTAGCTAGTTAATAAAAAATAAATTATGGACTGAATTGACTTCTATAATATACGGTTTCATTACGCCCCCTTTATATCTTACATATTATGAATATAGTGGAAAAAAATCAATTAATAATATTTTTGAAAAAACTGCAAATTCTTCTTCACTTGACATTGCGTTTTCAACAAAGGGTGAAGTGCGGAAATTCGAAATTATTTTTCGAACAGCGACATCTAGTTAAAAAAAGTATAAGAGTTTTAAATTTTTATGGAACTAGTTGATACTATGAAATGACTTCGCTGTTATCCAACAGATGGCGTTAAGGTCAAATTACATGCCTTTTGTTGTACTTTATTTTGCATATAATATATATATATACATTTATATAAAAGTTGACTACTAAATTACAAAAAATATATTATCAAAGGTTTATAAAACTATACTTCTGAAATATTTAAGTTTAATAAATTATCTTCTCAATAACTATTTTTATTCCACTCTTTCTATAAAGTTTTAAATCATTTTATGTAATCATATGAAAAACACAAAAAAGTTATGTGAAATTATTTGTAAGAACATGAGAGTTTCTTTGAAACAATGTTAAGTTTTAGTATGCCACATTAAAAGCTATTAAAATATATGTAAACTTATTACGGCCGCGAGACGATAACTATTTCTAGGAGTTGCATTTGCTTGTTTAAAAGCCAAATCTATAAAAAATATTGAGCATATAATTATATAGAGTGGAAACAAGAGGTTCCAGGAAAGTTCCTCCCTTTCCTCAACAATCAAAGTTGGCAACGCATCCGCAACAAAGTTGTTGTGGATGTCCATGGGCGACGGTCACTATACTACCCATCAAGTAGGTCGTCTGCTCGTTTTCTACCTTTCACATAAAAAATACGGGAAACCGTCGTACAGCTCTACCAATAAGCTATGTAAGCTTGTTTATTTAATAATAAATAGATTTCCTGGTTATAAAATAATGTGTTAAGAGTAAGGTTGTGTGTTCATATCAATAATACAAAATAGTTATTTGTATTTATTTTATTTTAACCATTTAAATAATCTGGATTCCTCTAAAATATAAATATTTTTATCTTATAACAAAATGTTACACGCCTATGTTACATATCCAAAGTGCTTTGTTCTCAGTTATAAAACGTCTAAATATGTAGTGATATGTTAAAGCAGATTGAACGAGAGGTATTTCAATAAAATTAGCTTTGTCTCAGGAGTCTTATGTTTTTACGAACAAGTAACAACGCGAAATGCATCCTACGATCGATTCATTTAATTTGTGTCTAAAATGAATGAAGACGATACATACATATAGTTCTCTGTAGAGTAGGTATACATGGATTTTGAAGACACTATAGTATATCAGCGGTTCCTTTGTTATTAATATTTATTATAATATATTTAAATTATGATTTTTAAACACATATTTCTAACTAAACTATTAAAAA